TAATAAAACCAAGCATCCTCAGTTTTCTAGTTAGTGTCCACCAAATTCCAAATTAAGATCAGATAAACTTGCTTCTTTAAAATCAAATTTAAATACACAACAGTAAATTTTGATGACCTTTAGCAATCAAGCTAATAATGTGGCTGAAGCCAGTTCTGTTATTGCCTGGAATATTGCTCGTGCGAAACGTCCGTATGGAGAGGGAAAGTTTATTAAAAAAAACAAGGAAGATGTACTTAAACTTTTAGATCCAAACAATGCAGCATTGCACAAAGTTGTTTCGCAAATTCCCGTCTCGAGACACACAATCGAACGACACATAACTGCAATTAATACATCTCTTGAATGTAATTTAAAAATTGACTTGAAGAACTGTATTGCATTCAGCTGAGGCCTTGACGAATCGACAGATATCACAGATCTTCCGCAATAGCAGTTTTCATACGTTTTGTTTCACCTAACTTCGTTGTGAACTCTCTGAGCGACACAGGATTTTAGATCCGTCATGAAGATCAGCATATAAGCAGCATTTATTAATTCAGTTTGTATAATTACTTATTTTAGTCTGTATTTTCATAAACGTACAATCAATAACATGATATTTACATTATTGAAGAAAGTAAGAAAGCGAAATATCTTAAATTATAAACTAATATATGCCAACTAGAAAAACTTCTGATGACCGGATAAAGCCGGTCATAACGCTCAGAGGGTTTTAAAGAAGAATTATTAGATTTAGTAGCACTTCAAGAGTCAACCCGTGGTGTCGATATTAAAAATGCATTAGATTCCATTATGAAAACTTTTGATGTGTCTCCTAATAAACTTGTAAGCATTGCAGCTGATGGAGCTCCGGCAATGCTGGGTAAAAAATCGGTCTTAATTGGGCTTTTAAGAGATGATTCTCAAATGATTCCACAATTCATACCGATTCACTGCATAATTCACCGAGAACATCTCGTTAAAAAATATTTAAAATATCCTGATGTTATGAAAACAGTGCTACACATTGTAAATTGCATTCGCACCAATGCAAAAAATCAATGACAATTCAAACATTTCCTTGAAGAATTAAAGGACGAAGAACTTCCAAATGACATTAATTTTTTTCCATTGTTAGATAGTTATCTAACTACAAGGTATTAAATCGATCTGTAGCTTTGTTTGATCCGATAACTGCATTTCTAAAAGAAACGGAAATAACCTATTCAGAATTAGACGATAACGAGTGGTTACAAGACTTAATGTTTTTGACTGATTTCATGGAACATTTGCAAACACTGAATTTACAATTGCAGGAGAAAGATAAAATAATGTTTGACCTCTCACAGTGTATATTTAGTTGTCAAACTAAATTACAACTTTTTCAAAAGGACCTTAAAAATAAAACAGTTTGTCATTTTCCTCGAATTCAAAAATTTTGTTCCAATATTAAACAAGAAAAACTAAACGAATGTATAAAAAAGGCTAGAAAGAATATTGACAGAATTCCAAAATAGATTTCAAGACTTGAAATATTTTAAATCGTCTCTTGATTTCTTTCTGAATCCATTTGAAATTAACATAATTCAAAGTGAGTTTTCCATTTCCAATATAATTATGACCCAAAAAGCATCTGAAGAATTAGAATTAATAGAGATGCAAGAAGATCCAGCTCAATTAAAATATAAGTCGAAGCCGAATACTGAATTTTGGAAATTTGTAGCAGGATCGAAGTATCCTGAATTAAAAAAGGCTGCTTGTCGAATTATTTCAATATTCGGAACAACGTACTTATGTTAATCATTTTATTACACTTTAAAATTCGTGAAATCCAAACACCGATCAGTATTAACTAGCCAGCATCTCAAAGAATTACTGTCACTAGTTATTCACCAAATTTTAAAGAATTATCAAGAAAAGTAAAATAAATGTGTTTAATTTTTAATATTTAAATTGAATGCACGTATTTTGTACTTTTATTTATATGTTTTCAATAAATATCATTTTGGTAAAAAAAATTTAATACCTTTTAAATACGTATTTAATTGCGGCTCTCGAAAAATTTCAAATTTTTAAAAATGGCTCGGACTTTTAAGGAGCTTGGCCACCTCTGTTATATACTCTTTAAAAAAAGAAGAAGAAAATTGCTGTTAACGAAACATTATTGAACAATTAAAATTAAAGCCGACTAAACCATAACGCGTTTTCATAAAATGTTTTCTTATATCGTTAATTTAGCTAACTGATATTTTACATATATGGTTAACAATTATATTAATGACAATATATCTGGCTAAATGTAGCTTTTACTTTTTCAAAAGTTCAAATTAGATGAGCTTATAAATTTAATATGTCGTTGATTAGTACATAAGGACTTCAAAGATTTTAATTTTTTAAGCTTTAATTTAGTTCACCAGTGGTCTTTCACTGCTAGCGAAATTTTGTGATGGATTTTTAACCTACATCCCAATAAGCTATAGAGTTCAAATTTTGCACACTCACTGCTTATTAATGACTATGCAATGTGGTGAAATGATTTTTTTTTCAAAATTTTATTAGAGTTTTCTTATTTAATGTTAAAACGAGTTTTTTTGCATATATCTTTGTTTAACGAACGAACTAAACATTTCAAAATTGACTGTTTGCACCATCGAATAGAGCGGAAAAAATATCTTTTGCATGAAACTTTTAATGTTATTTCTGAATCCTTGTTTGAAGTTTCAAGACTCTCTCGACTTTTTAGGCTATTTGTCGTTAATTATTTTGAAATTTCCTGTAAAAATATATGGGACAGAAAGTTTTGAAATTTTCACAGATTATAAAGCAAATTTTGCGCCCTCTTTTAAAACAAGAATGATAAAAAAATATTGAGCGATTTTCTGCACTTTTTCAAAATATTTGTTGCAGTCTGAACCACACAGAAGATAAAAAGGATTTCTCGTGGAAAAATTGCTTCTGTGTTTGCCATCTTGGAGCAGTTAATGACGAACTGGCGATATTTTAGAGATCAAGTAAATTAGTAAATCAATTAGCTCAAGTAAAATGCTCGTTGTAAAGCTGTTATTATATTCCAGTTCCTAAAAACGAATATTCAAAACGATTTCTTCATTCTGTGAGTGACGTTCAGTTATTATTCTCTAGTTCATAATTTCCTTTTAATTTATTGTTCGTGTTTGAATAACGAATAAAATTTTCATCACTGATAACGTGTAATAGAGACTAAAATAAAAAAATAAAACATAATTTAAAAAAAAAAGGTTTTTCTGGAATAAGCTTTTATTTAAAACGAGTATAATAATCAGTGCACTAAAAGGAGATAGATAATTTACCACATGACTTAACGAGAATAATAAATTAAATAAGGAAAACCCATGACCTCAGTCTATGTGTTTAGGTTATGGAGGTAGAAATATATGGAGCCGACATCATGCCCGTCGAAGTTGGAAAATCAATCATCTTTTACCCCACTCCCTTTTACCAGCCCTCGTCAACCCTTTCGTTACAAATCTATGGGTATTCTACCAAAAGAATGGATTCTATGTGCATTCTATGTGCCTCGACGATATTCTCGATAATATTTCCGATATTTTTTTTTTTTTTTTTTTTTTTTTTTTTTTTCAGTTTAAAGTGATGAAATGGTTTTTTTTACTTTCTTACTGGATGTTAAGAAAGAACTGAAGCATCAAAAAATAAAAAATAAGCTTTCATACATACGCCGATTTTACATATAAAACAGTTTATATTTTCATTATTTCTGCTTTCTTTTGTGTTAAAATTCCTTAGTATGAATTTGTATAAAAAAAATTAAACTGGGAAAAAAAAAAAAAAAAGTGAAAGCTTTCAAATTTTATATTACGCCTAAAGAGACTTTTTTTTTTTTTTTTTTTTTTCATTTACACATACCTACACGTTTCGAAAGCATTTGGGCTAAGAAAATTTAAAAACAGCATATCTTTAGAATTTCGGATAGACAGTCTCGCGCGCTGGAGAAAGAATATTTATTTCGCACAGTGTGTTGCCCCTGCTCTCTTTGAAATCATTCAGTTTCTTAATCAAAAATTTTTTTAAGTTTAAAAAATGTGAAATAGATCATTAAAAAAATTCGAAATTTGAGATTCGGGCTTCCAGGTGCCCATATTCCAGTGGAGGACAACGTTTTTCAAAATTTGATGGCTCTAGGTATTGTCGTTTTTTCACAATGCGAGAAACAAACATACATTCATGAAGATTTTTCATTTTATAATACAGAGCCTTAATATTTTAGATGGCAACAATTTGAAAAGTGATACAGGCATTTATAGTGATTCGAAGTTTCTGGGCTAACGCCCTTTCGGGCTAGTAATTCTATTTACATAATTCATCTGCAGTTTTATGTCGCGAATAATGAAAGCGTGGGTCACTTAAATAAAGAAATCTATCCAATTAATTAAACTAAGTTTAGATTTAATTTAAACATAATTTTGACCATTTTGCTGAGATTTCATGTGAAAATTATGAAAATAAGAAATCTTGGCAATAATTTTAAAAAATATTTATGATTGAATTCTATAAAGTTTCGATAACAATTCAATGAATGTCCTTAAGTGACCCATTATTGATTCGTTTATCCTACTATAGATTTCAAAAAATTTCATTCACACAAAACAGCAAACTTGTTCCCGTAAGCTTAATAAAAAAACCACTAGAAATTTCATAACGCAGAATCCTGAACCTAACCTAACCGGAGAATTATTTTTTAATCCAATGTAACTAACAGCTCATTCGTATTCCTAACAAGTTGATTTAACCAATTATTCCAGTCACAGTCTATTTGAAATCGGAAAAAACATAAAAAAAAGGACAAAATATCCGCCGGAAAGAACGAGGAGGGTGTGAAAAAAACTAGACCGAGTCCAAGGTAGCGGATGGTTCAGAAGAAGCAATTGGGCGCGGTTCTCTCTTGCCCTGGGGCGACAGAATCAGAAGAAGCATCTAGGAGGCTGCTTCAACAGGGCAGGGGAGTTTACGCAAAAAAATATTTGTACTTGACCCAATTTATGGTCGCCAATGAGACAATGCAGACTCCGTACCGCTTGTACCAGGTTTCGAACCCCGTATTTAAAGGGTAAGAGAAGACCCAAAGGAATCATTCTCAATCCCACCAGCATTCGAAGAGCATCATGATTCGACTCGTAAGTACTTCTTCGAATTGATAGTTGTTATCAAAAGAAAGACTTCTTTCAGTTGATATTCGATTTCTTCAGTGATTAGGACTCAAATCAGAATTTAAACGAATATTTGTTTTAAAATAACCGTTTTTTCAAGTGTAAATAGTCAGTTGTTTTTAAGTGTAATAGTGAAAATAATTTAATGGTTAAATATAATATTTAAGATAATTAATTACTCAAATATAATTTGATCAAAACAGTTAGTGCTTCGCATTTAGAAAAAAATCATAGAGTTTTTTGTGCTAAAATTTAATTCAATTTATACTGTGGAAAATGCACTTGATATTAATAATTTCAATATGCCATTGAAAGAAATATTATAGCTCAAGTTTAGCTTATATATATTGCTATGTTAATATTAAACTGCAAAGCTTTAAGAGAAAAGTCGTAAGAAAATCAATGACTTTAGTTGAAAGAAAGGTTTCCCCCTCCCCTTCCATATTTTAGGCTTCGACGTGCGTTCCTTCTAATGCTATTTATATGCATATACATATGTACTGGCAGATTTCCTGCTTTCATAAAAGTCGACTCTTAGAATATATTGTAATGATTTTAATACATTTCCCTAAATTTCTCAAAATGCCGAATCTATGAAGTAAGGTGGATGAATGATTAAGAACAGCTTAGCATTTCTTTACAGTAAACTGAACTACGATGCTGACGGCAGTATGCGGAAAAGAACTTAAAGACACAGTGTGGAATATGTCAGAATAATAGGTTTTAGTTCCTTTTTCACTTTTTGGATTGAGCTGAGAAAAAGTGATATTTTGGTATTGCATACCGAGATGTCGTACATATATTATCCTATATGTAATTTTTCTTTCTTTTTTTTTTTTTTTTTTTTTTTTTTTTTTTTGATTGAGCTGAGAAAATTTGATATTATATACTGAGATGTCGTACGTATTCTCCAATGTGTAAATTTTTAGAATTTTGTGTCAGCCTATAGCACGGTTTATGAACGAACACACATAATGCTCTAAAATATAATAAGCACAATGTAACTAATGTTATTAACTGGTGTGTAAGCTATATTAACACACAGCAATTGTTTATAAGTAAGCAGACCATGATGTTTCTCTATGCTATAAAAGTGATAAATTTTAATACTATGATTCCATTTACAAGATCTTGAATTAAATATGTGTCCTGCAATTTAACATGTCTTATAAATTTGAAGGTACATTTAAAATTTTATAATTTTAAAAGGATAAAAATTACAGTATCTAATTAATATTTAATAATATTAGATTTGTAACAGCACCTAATTTATTACAAATTTAATATTATTATTTGAAATTTTATTTCAACAATTTATTTGCTTCAACGATGATAGTTCTTTCTTTTAAAAGTAAGCTAATTTTATAGTTCCTATTCTGGTAAATGCAAATTTAGAAAGAATGAGAAAAAGAAAACTGCTCTTCAAAATTCATGCTTTATTGTAAAATATTCCTTCAAACGCTATCACTGCCTTCGTAGTGTAATTGGACAGCACGTCTGACTGGCACCAGGAAGGTCTGAAGTTCGAGTCCTGGCTAGGGCATCACTGATTTTTCATACTTCCGCCCCCCTTTTTTTCAGTAGCGGACAGTAGCCATTATAGGCATTAGCCACTACTAGGTCGGAAGCGATGGTCACTTTATTATGGAAGCCCCTAGTAAGTGAGCCGCCGTTGCCTCTAGTGAAGGGACAGCACAACTACGTCTATGAACAAAGTCAGGTTTATGAGCGGGCAACCAGACCCCAAATGGTCACCGAAAGAAACTAAGACAACGTCAAAATCCCTGAGATTGACCAACGGAGGCGAAACCCCGAGGGCAGCCTTTGAAAATCAAATATGTAGAGATCACACACCCGGAGACAAACTTGACAGCTCGATCCCTAACGAGCCTGAACGGACCACCGAATAATCAGCGGCTCTAGTCCTATGTACTCCTGGTGTCGAGGCTGCCTAAGTACAACTCTCAGCCAGCACGCCGAAGGTTAGCCCTCAGTTGACCCGCAGGGGCACCTATGGATGAACAGATAATTCATATCTATGCCTTCTCCGGAATTCGGGACCTAGCTTCGATTCCAGTCGAACGGGCTGGCTGCATGGGGGATTTCGTGATTTTCCCCATATATGTATAATGTGTATACGAGCCAATTTCCCTTAGAAAGTCCTCACTGAAAGCATCTCTTTTCTTAGGTAGATTAGCCCTTATACCTTCATTTGCTTCTTAATTTTATATTCGAAAACGACGAAACACGATCTTAATTAATTAATGGTGATTATATAGAGAGATTCCAATTCACAGAGCCGTGCCAAGATATTTTTTCACCTGAGGCAAAAAGGTAAAGGCGCGCCCCTATATATATATATATATATACATCAAAATAGCTATATTTGTATTAAACAAAAGTAAATGTATTAAATCAAAATATCATAATTCTTATAGAATAATTATACCATAATCCTTAAAGTATTTTTTAATCGTAGCTTTATAAATTCAGAAAAATAATATAGCCAATTATTTATAACTTTCAAATGAAAATGTTAAAAAATTCTTTTTTGATAAATAAGAAATAACACCGAAATACACATTGCACTAATTTTCAGGTTTTCTTGCAAAGTCTTCCTATTGTTTCATTAATTTACGTTTGCCGAAGCTTGTTTCCCGTAATACTAATTGACCAATTTAAAAACATAATTAAACTAATTTCCGAATTCTTATAGCGAATTTCGCGCCCCTTCTAGTAATTCACCTGAGACACAAAACAGCTTTTCATTGTGAAAAAAATTTGAATTTAATTAAATATGCTTTAATTGAATTCAAGTTTTAATTTACAAAACTGACTGACATTTTATGTACTAATCTTCATAAAAAAAATATACGGAAACAGAATTCTTTTAATAATACAATGACGCTCACGTTAAGTAGTGTAATTCTTTTATCGATTTCTATTTACAAAGGTTTATAACACATAATTTTTACCAAATTCCGGAGTTTTGGACACACCGTGGAATATTAATCAATAAAAAAGCTTAAGATCTTAATTAATACAAAATTATTTTAAATGAAGTATTTTGTTCTGATGATAAAAACGTTCTATACTTTTTTTTTTTTTTTTTATCTATTTTCTATTTCTGTAAATTGTATTCATTACCTTTAGATTCTAAAAGGCTGGAATAAGGATTAAAATTAAATCATACAAACTTTACAATAAGTTATCTAACCTACTACAAAGCGTTAGTTACAATAATTAAAACCTGTTATAAATTATTTAAATAATGTCATCAGAGGTAAGTTATGTCATTCATTGATAAAATAACGGATTCGAAAAAATATGAAAGCTCTTGATAATCATTTTAGTTTGATCTATGGAAAACAAAAACAAATCGAAGTAGTTTCGATAAAGAACGAACTATTCATTTTTGCCAAAACATGAACCCTATACAAAAGACAAATTGTGCGTTATTAAGTTGCCTGTAACTATGATGTTTACTACAGTCAGATGATTATTGTACAGATCACAGTCGGAAGCTCTAAATTTAAAATTTAATTGTGACTAACATTTTAACGAAAATTATAAAGTTGGTATTGATCCAGACACTGAATTTAAGTTCTATAACCTTACTAGGCAAATGAGCGAGTTATGGCAATGTCTGAAATAGTATGACACAGACCTACGAAGGTTTAAATAATCTTTTAATTTAGTCTGAACTTTTAGCATAAAAGGCACGGCCTGTGCAACAGATAAACCACTACTTGTGGCGATGTAAATTAAGAAATAACAGTGAACTATTGAGGAAGGACTCTCAAACTTAGAATTAAGCCCAGTATTAAAATTTCTGATTACGACTATAACAGTTTGGAAAATATGGATAGGCCTATCCTCAACTAAATATATGGATCATGTAAATATGCAACTCTAATAATTTGACATATGTGTTTATTTATGTATTTATTTTCATTCCTCTTATCTGCTACTCTTCGAATTTTCTGTCTGCATTCTCATTTTTGTGAATGTTATAGGTATATGTATATAATTATTCCATGTTCATGTCTTAGTATATGAAATTTTGTATTTGATAATTCTTAATGGATTCAATTTGCCTATGTTTGCACTACCTCATTTTTGTCACTGTCACCAGTTCGTCAACTTTTCTGCTCGCACTCATTTATACCAGCCTTAACAGTAAGTCAGTTGTTATTAATACGTTAACGAGTATTATCCTATCTGGACTTAATAAAATTATTTTAAAAAAACCTATTCAATTTATTATATACCACCGGTTATTGTATACCACCTTTCGAAATTATCAAACTATTCTAGAAGGGGTAGAGCCTTGGCTCAGGCACCCTGGTGTCTCAAACACCGTTCTACAGGTTGAGAGAGAATTAAGATGCCCATACATGGTTATAATGCCCCAACCCCTAGAGAATATCCAAGAAGGCACAACTCCCTGGGCAACCCAGGGGATCAATTTTATATGCACATAGCCTGGGGAAAAGTAACACAAATCAATGGCGACCAGCATGCAGTCACCAACAAAAATAGATACATCGTAGACTGCCTCTATAGCCTATCTAGACTGCTGACCAAGGGGAGTCAAGACAACGTTCGAAACATAACCATGTAACGTCCCCATAACCAAGGGTTAGACAATACAGTACTAATACAGTCTCTGACGAGCCTGAACTGACCAACGAAGAAACGATTGTTCTTTTCACTGTAAAAAACTGATTATTTACCCCAAAAGTCAAGTCTGTCTAGGTACAGAACCTAGTAAAAACGCCGAAAGTCTTCCCCAGTCGACCCCCGGAGGCAAAATAAGAAATAATAGTCAATTCATTTGAAACGTTGATCAGCAGTTTAAAATTGCCCAGGCAATAAACTAAGCTATAGACTGGCTCAATTGGTTTTACCGGCGCGTAATTTTTAAAGCAATGGGCTAGCGAAAATGCCAAAGCCGGAATAATTGCTTTTAGATGTAGAGTTGACAAGATTCTAACACGGGTATACGAGTGCCAGAAGCTCTGCGTCTGAGAGATCCAAAACCCTCAGCTTATACTTAAAGCCTTCTGGTGAGAAATACGAAAGGAAAAAGTCATAATAAAGATCAAAATCTGAGTAATTGCTTAGTTTAACATATGAACCTTACAAAATAGTTAAAATAATATAAATTTAAATTTAATTTAAGCCACTTAATTTATTATATATCCACAATAACTACTATCGTACTTCAAAACATTAAGAGAATATTCCCATAGCTAAAACTACATTATGTAAAATTTTCCTCCACCCAAATTTATGTTGCGGGATAACATTTTTCCCTTCGTGCTGTAAGAAAGAGGTAAGATTTTACCTTTATTTAGTAATATATAGCAATTTAATACATGTAAGCTTCGGGCTGTAACTTGAATACTGGTGACTAACATAATTTATTCTTTTCTTGGCGTTGATATCAGTTGATAAGGTCAAAATACATTTCGAATGAAAAATGAGCGTTATCCTTCTCAAAAGTAAAGATCTCTCGTTTTGCCTTTCGAAGTGGATGTATGTTTTCACCTGAAACAAATTTAATGAAAGCTGGATATTGGCTATTAAAAACGGGGTAGTTACCCCCTTACAAAATGCATCTCCCTCCCATCAAATGTAACTCATGCATTTTATCGCAATTTATTCAGCAAGGAAGTTTTGTTTATAATAAATGTAGAAAGTATTCAATCACATTACAATTCTCGATGCTAAATGCATATATTAATTTACAATATGGAGCTTACCTCTGAATGGAAAACTAATTTGTAATTTAATATTTCTATTTTACAGGGAGCCGTAATTCTTTTAGCTGTGGCTTGCACAGCAGCTCCTTTGGGAAATACGGGTGCTATTCTGTTTAGCAATGCTCTTCACAAGGGTGCTCACCTGAAAGGACATGCGTACGCTGCCGAAGTTCATCACTCAGCTCCAGCTGCTCTTGCCTACTCCACTAGCCAACTGCATGGTTTGTCATCTCTGGCTCTTGCTCCCGCCGTAAGCAAGGGTTATGCTTATTCCTCTGAAGTGCGCCATGCAGGTCCAGCTGTTGCAGTAGCTGCAGCACCAGCTGCTGTCGCTGTTCATGGAGCTGCAGTTAAGGGACATGCGTATTCCACCGAAGTGCATCACACAGCTCCAGCAGCAGTTGCCTATTCGTCTCAAATCCATCATGCAGCACCTGCCGCAGTAGCATATTCATCTGAAGTTCATCATGCAGCACCTGCAGCTATTGCTGTCGGTGCCCCAGCTGCTGTCAAAGGGTATGCTTATTCTTCTGAAGTGCAACATGCAGCTCCCGCAGCTGTAGCATATTCCTCTGAAGTCCACCATGCAGCACCAGCAGCTGTCGCCGTAAGTGCCCCAGCAGTCAAAGGGTACGCTTATTCCTCTGAAGTTCACCATGCAGCACCTGCAGCTGTTGCCGTAAGTGCTCCAGCAGTCAAAGGATACGCTTATTCTTCTGAAGTTCAACATGCAGCTCCAGCAGCTGTTTCATATTCCTCCGAAGTTCACCATGCAGCACCTGCAGCTGTTGCCGTAAGTGCTCCAGCAGCTAAAGGATACGCTTATTCCTCAGAAGTTCACCATGCAGCACCTGCAGCTGTTGCCGTAAGTGCACCAGCAGTCAAAGGATACGCTTATTCTTCTGAAGTTCAACATGCAGCTCCCGCAGCAGCTGTTGCATACTCCTCCGAAGTTCACCATGCCGCACCTGCTGCTGTTGCCGTAAGTGCTCCAGCAGTCAAAGGATACGCTTATTCTTCTGAAGTTCACCATGCAGCTCCCACAGCTGTCGCTTATTCCTCTGAAATTCACCATGCCGCACCTGCTGCTGTTGCCGTAAGTGCTCCAGCAGTCAAAGGATACGCTTATTCTTCTGAGGTTCAACATGCAGCTCCCGCAGCTGTCGCTTATTCCTCTGAAGTCCATCACGCCGCCCCTGCAGCTGTTGCCTATTCATCTGAAGTTCATCACGCAGCACCAGCAGCTGTTGCTGTCAGCGGCCCAGCTGTCAAAGGGTACTCTTATTCCTCCGAAGTTCATCATGCAGCACCAGCCGCTGTTGAAGTAAGTGCCCCAGCTGTCAAAGGTTATGCTTATTCCTCTGAAGTGCAACATGCAGCAGCACCAGCTGCTGTAGCATATTCTTCAGAAGTTCATCACGCTGCGCCTGCAGCAGTAGCAGTGTCTGCCCCAGCAGCTGTAGTCTATTCTTCTCAAGTCCAGCATGCAGCTCAAGCAGCTAAAGGTCATGCTTATTCAGCCAAAATTGAGCATGGAAGCTCAGCTGCTGCTGCAGCACAGGCAGCTGCTCAAGGTTACGCTTCCGAAAACCAGCACGGAGCAGCTGGCGCACAGAAACTTGAACAGAGTCAACAAGGATTTTCTTACTCATCTGGAATTCAACATTCTGGCCCTGCAGCAGCTATTTCATACAGCTTTGGGGAGGAAAAAGCAGCTCAAGAATTTAAAGCACGAGAAGCTTCTAAGAAGAGTGAAGAATCAAAAGCAGCAGGGCAATTTTATTCTTCAGATATAAGCCAAGGAGCAGCTGCAGGTTCTGGAGCACCAAGGGGAGCTGAAGCAGTTAAAGGTTATGCTTATGCATCCGAAGTTCATCACGCAGCCCCAGCAGCAGTAGCAGTCCATGCAGCTCCAGCAGCAGTAGCAGTCCACGCAGCACCAGCGGCAGTAGCAGTACCCGCAGGAAGAGCTTACGCATATTCTTCTGAAGTCCATCATAGTTCCCCAGCTGTTGCTGCAGCTGTAGTTGCTGCCCCTGCAGTCAAAGGACATGCATATGCCACGGAAGTGCACCATGAAGGACCCGCTGTTGCAGTTGCTCATGGTCCAGCCTTTGGCGTTCGTACCAAAGCAGTCTCATACTCTACTGGAGTACATCACGCACCAGCTGCTGTCGAAACACATCATACAGTTATCAACAACTTCAAAGGCACACCTTTCGTAGGCCACTAAGATTATGAGAATAGCTTTTATATATTAGGCATTTTCAAATTAGTGGTGATGCGAACCAAAGAAAGCATGCTGAGCAAGACTAAGGCAATGGGGAATATTCTTTCATGAACTGTTCTTGTTGGTAGAGGTAATAAATCTCTCTCAGAATTTTATAATTTATGGATACAATGTGGTGCGAATGCTTCGAACTCCTTTCTTTCAGGAACTGTTCTTGTTAGTCGAGGTAATAATTCTCTTTCGAGAATTTCATAATTTATGGTTACAATATGGTGCGGAATGCTTAGAACTCTCACTAAATAAAAACAATTACATCATGTAATGAAAAATAAATGGAAGTTATTATAAAAAGTATAATGTAATGTTTTTATATTTAGTCACCATCTTACACAGTAATCATAAAAACGAAAAAAAAAAAAAATCCACCCAGAATTATTAACAAACACAATTAGAGTAAGTACATGAAATGACGTAACATTTAATTTTAATCAGTCACTGCTGTTTGACTACATGAAAAAACAACTATGCGTGTGCTTAAAATGCTTATGAAGTTTTACAAATTCAATTTATCTTAGACTAAAATACAAGGAATTTAAATATCAGTGAAACAATTATATTTCCTTTATAAAAAATGAATCTTAAAATAGAAAAGATGCATCATTAGGCGATGTGTTTATTAGACATGTACAAAATACGATCATCTGAAGTTATTCCTCAGTATAAAATTCCATTCAAAATTAATGCATTTCATTTTCATACTCAATAAGAAAAGTTCTAGTGAAACATAAATAAATTCAAAACACATAAATTTTAAAAGATGGTATCAAGCTTCATTAATTTAAATATAATTTCCTCAGTGTATTAAAAATAATTTTAAAATATGAAGTTGTCCTTTAAAATGTCTCATTTCAAGTACACATAATTTTTGTATTAATATTTCATTTCGGAATATTCAAAGATTTCTTTAGGAATTAAATATGTAATTCGAAACGTAAATAATCTGTCATTTCTGTGACATTGCCTTTTAAAATTATATTAGTTTACAAGAAGAAAATAAAATTTTCAGCTTTTAAAATATGATTTAGGGAAAATAAGCGGTGTTTAAAGTGTAGAGAGAAAATTGAATGCCGAGATTTCTAAAACTGCAATAACTAATTACAGAATAAATTAGATTTCGAAAAAACTTGTCATTAGACTAACAAAAAGTGATCATAAGTTATTACTTTTACTGCGCTTTTGAAACTGCACATAAATAAAATAATTTTGCAAGAAATATATTACCTTACAATGCATTGCAATCAAATGATAAAATAAACCGTTTGGTTCAAAATATACTTCTGAACTTAGAGCAATTTTTTAATTAACTTCCATGACCTAACTTTAATGAACTAGTTCTTAAATTAAGTATGAGTAAATATGTTTCATGCACTAAGTAAGAATAGCTGACTACTTTTACCATGAATTTACAATAAAACACTATAAAGTAACAAAAATATTATAAAAATTAATTTTCATTTTAAATCGTCAAATAAAGAAAAAAATGTAGAATACATGTATCTAAATTATGAAATAACTAAGCAGACTTTGAAAAAGGAATATTAAACTCTGAAAAAAAAACTACTTATTGTTCAAAAGAAATGTGTAAGAAATGTAAAGTAATTTAAATTCATAATAAATATTATTACCGTAATATTTCAAAAACCTGGAGATTTATGATTTACAGTAGATCAAACAAAAAGTTACATTAACATACATTGTAATACACAACCACGCGTGGCTAGGATTTTTTTCCCGAAAGGAACTACACAGTGGGTGTTTAGACACTTTTAGAATGATTTCGATAAAGAATTTTTTTAAAAATGTGTTTGGAATAAAAATTTTAAATGAGAAATATCGTCTACTACTTTTAAATTTATTGTTCTTTCAAAATGTCACATGTTAACAAGCTCATGATGAAAAGGCATGTTTTTGGACTTTCCAAAGACAAAAATTCATACTCCACAATTAAAAAATGTTGTGCAATTCATGTAATTAAAGTTTCTAAGTGAAAAATAAGTTATATTATTAATCGGAAAGGAAAACCACCAGTCGCTACTCTTCTACATAGAAAGACGACTCCAAACGAATAACGAAAAAAGATACTTTCTGTTTCTAAAGTTAAGCCGTTGGTAACAGAAAATTCGCAGACACAGATATCAGTTGCAAAGTCTTTAAATAAATCTATAGCAACAATAAATAAAGTAATAAACGAAGATTTACATATTTTTAAAAGCTAAAACACGTAATGTTCCCCAGCTTCAGTATGTCGGTCAATGCAAAACAATTTCTTGAGCATGTGACTCAATGCAGAACAGTAGTAAGCGGGGGTAACCGGGCGGCGGAAGTGACGTCACAGAAAAGGGGCGTGGTCGCCGCCATCTTGAATCACGTGACAACCGGAAATGACGTAGATGGAATGACATCCTCAAAGTTTCGTTTTGATTCTGTGGCAACGATTTTGTGTCTCAAAGTTTTTATTTTTTGTGGCAACGACACTATTTTTTATGTTTAAGGCAATGAGCTCTTAACCACGTGTTTGGCAGGACATCACTTTTAATTTATTGTTTTTAATTATTTAATACGTGATTAACTATTTAGTATGTCATTAATTTTAATTATTTACTCTTTTTAATAAGTATTTTAATTATTTAATCCGTCATTATTTTTAACTAGTTTTAATTGATTCCATTATATTTTAATGAATTTTAAAATAAACTCCACCGCCGGGATTCGAACTCGCTATCTCTGGGATGGGAGTCTAGCGCTTTACCGCTCGGCTACCCGGTCCTCTTATCAGACTTGTTATTTGAAACTCTCTTTGTCCCTTTGAGTTTTTGCACCATTGATGACATAAGGCTGAAAGTCTGCGCATGCGCTTTGACATGAAAACCGCGTCACACATTTGTTTTTACACGACGGCTAGGATTTCTTTTGGCTTCTTAATCATTACTTTATCCATGCTGTTTTAAATGTAAGATTTTCCCATAGTTTAATTTTTTTTTATTATTAAGATATTTTTAATTGTTTTCATTTTTTCATCTCATTCTTACTTTTTTTTAAGTTATTAGTTAATTTATTAATTTTTTATTCATTTTTTTCCCTTCCCAAACATAAATTTTATTTTTAACTTTCGGAAATTGACGTTTACTTCCAACAAAATTGAATTTAAATTTTCTTTTTACTTTTTATCTTGCAAAGTTTATTTTTTTATATTTAATTTTCTTTTGGTTTTACAAAAGTAATATTTATTTTTACGAATTGGAATTTTTCCTTTTCACTTTTTTATTTTGCAAAAGTTTTTTTTTTTTTTTTTTTCCAAAATTTTTTTTCTTTCGTATTTTTACTTTATTTTAATTTTTTGTATTAACTTTCTTTTTGGTTTTACAAAAGTAATATTTTATTTTACGAATTGAATTTTCTTTTTCACTTTTTTATTTTGCAAAATTTTTTTTTTCCCAAAATTTATTCCTTTTCGTATTTTACTTTACTTTATTTTAATTTTTTTGTTTAAACTTTTTTTTGGTTTTACAAAAGAAATATTTATTTTTCCAAATTTAATTTTTCCTTTCCGCTTTTATTTTAAAAAAAGTTTGTTACTACATTTTTTAACTTAATTTTTTTACAAAAGTAATATTTAGTTTCATAATTTTAATTTTTTTGAGTTTTTTGTTACACAATTTTTTTTTGTTACATTTTTATTTTACCCTTAACTTTTTTCCCTTGTTTTAAATACAATACGATGACATTTACATTTCTCTCCAAAGTAAACTTACCTACATTTCTGTGTCTTTGAAATTTTAAGCTGGAATTTACCATGCATATAACTTCACTAGATAATATTTTCTGTAACATTAAGCCAATATACACAATGCTCTTTCTATATAGTTTAACTGGAATACTACATTTCTTACTTTTTTACTACTAAGTTGGAGATACTCAGAACTTTTTCCTTCTAATGTATTTTACTAACTATACAAAACTTTGTTGATTCCCTTTTACACGTCTTACTTTTATTCAAAGCATTCACCAAAAACTATGTCTGACAAATGTAATTTTTACACTTTCCATTTACACATTTACCCTTATATTAACTTATAAAACATATTCATGCTGTATTTCTGATTCCTTTTTCCCATAAAAATACAGACTTAACACATGTTTCTTATTGTAAGACCTACTGACTTTAAATAAATCTTATAAGGAGCAATAAATTTTCATGGTATGAAGTTTACTCAAACCATGCATGGAAACATTTCTACCCAGTTAAGTTTAGATACATACCAATAGTACTTCATTTCTTCTTATTTTACTCTACAGACATTTATACATATATATTCAGAACACTCCCTTTATTCAGTAAGATTCATTTATACTACTAACACAAATTTTGGTAACTCTTTGAAATATTTTACAAAAATATCTTGAATTTTCTTGCACATATCCTACTTAAATCACCAAACATACATTGAAACTTGATTTTTCCTTCACGTGAAAACGTCACACAAATTCTTAATACGATTCCAACGATTTACCGCAGAACTTTATAAACACTACTCTATTTGAACTTATCACAGCCTAACTCTTAACAGGTACAGAAGATTGAATTATATTTTAACTACAGAGAAGAATATCCACATTGTAACGTATTATTTTAAATTTGAATTATAGTCACATTTTGTGAAGGAGAAAACTTAATGTCTATAATGCACATGGAATTAATATTCAGCCATGGAAATGAAACTTTATCGCCTTTTTCCCAATTTGGAATATAAAAATTTGTTAACTTGGAATATTTTTAACGTATTTATTGTAACTTAACTGAAAAAGACCCATATTTCACATTGTCAGTAATTTATTTAGCACTGAACTCTTACAGCCTTTTGAGAACGAAATTTAATTTATCATACCTGACAAATGACTCCTACATAGTTATGATACATTACACGAAACATCGAGTAGAGTTCCAAATAATGATCTAACATAGTAATTAACATGACCTAACACAAATAATTTTAAGAGAGAAATTCAAACTGACATTGTTAATAATGAACTTTTACAGCTTTTTGACATTTAGCTTATCATAGATAATAAATAAAATTACACACAAATAATTATACAAAATAGGTAATAATGACAGAAAGTCCATATAATGATTACTTATAGTCACCAACTTTAAAAAATTTTAACGCATTTTTTTAATACGTCATAGAAAGACCACACTTTTTTTGAAAAGCATTATTTTTAATTAAACATTGGAACCACGCAGTCCTGCGCACATGTATAACATTTTTATTATCATAAGCATGACACATATA